CCTTCTGCAGCTTGCATGCCACGCCCATAAGGCACGCTTGAGTATGAAACACTAAAACTCAGTCAGACTTAAAATGCGTCTGTATGCTTAGTCATGGTTTTGCTTACATTCTGCTAAACATGCTAACTCGGGGAGCTAACATGACTCATGAACAGCAGATCTGAGCGCTAATTTGTTCTATTGCGAAACGCGACATGGAAGATTCATTTTAACCACCATAGTTGTAGTTTATTTATATTATTGTGTTTCTTTGTATGCAACACACCACTGCATTTACAGGTACATAACACATACAACTCTGCAACACACAAAAAGAGCCAGCGAGAAACACAAGCAAAAGTTTTGTCCCTTTAGAAATGATCATTTAAAAATTGCATTTGTGAAACATGCAAGTGTGACACATGTCTAAAATAAATACATTTTAAAAGAAATATTTTACACAGCCCTGTAGATTATTTATGACTTATTACAAATGAGCTTTTTTAAGTTTAAAATTATGCAGGATTCTGTTTAAGATCTGTAGAAAAAATGTTTGAAATAAGAGTTTAGAAAATTGTGTCTTGCACTTCCTGTGCGTTAGGAGCCCAAAACTCTTAGTAGAACCATGAGGTCACTGAGCAAATGGGGAGCCTGTAAACGATGTGCAAAATGTACATTCTTGTCTCTTGCACACAGAGATTCCTACAGATTTTCTGAACTTTTTGATATTACTGCCATCAAAAAACCTTTTTCTTACAATGGTACATTTTCTTACTGTGACATTTCTGTGTTCTATTGTGAATAAAATATGGGTTTGTGGGTTTGGAAATCATTTGCTTTTTAATTTTTCATTTCCATTTTACACAGTAATTGGCTTTATAAATGAAACACAAAGAACCTTAACATACTGAATTTCTTAAAAACATGACAGTGGTGTGCTTTTATGGTTTCCTGTTCTGTCTATTGTATGAATGTGTACCTCATAATAGATTATTCATTTTTAAGTTATTGTGTTATTGTGGTTGCCTTTACAACCTTAGACACCACTTTAATACATTTTTCTTTATGAGGAATCTTTGCAGCCACCTTCTATCCCTCAGCTGTTTGATATTTAGATTTCAGCTGTAGCATCACTTTACCAGTTGTGTTGAATGAAAATAGGGCATAGAGAGATAAGACAAGGACATTTTTGCAGCAGGGCTAGTGGACCTTTTCGAGATAGCTGGGAACTTTTCTTTTCTTTTTTTTTTTCTTTTTTTTGGCCTAATTTACTATTGAAAGCTTGCATAAGAACAGGAAGCTGTTTTTTCCCCTTTCTACCAGCATTACAGGAATATGAGCACCTTCACTTTTTTCCACTACACTGGATTAAATGAAGACATTTCTGCACATTATATTCTTCTGCATGTGGATAAATGTTTTGTCTTTGCCGAGATCCCACTAAGTGCATTCTTGACATGTTCTTTTACGTGCTGGTCTCGTCTCCAGGTTACCGACATTGCTTCTGTCAGAGTGTGTGCTGGTCTACATGACACCATCTCACTCCTCCAACCTTGTTCACTGGGCAGCAGAAACCTTTCACACTGCCATGTTCATCAACTATGAACAGGTAAACAAATTTAACAACTTCATAATTAAGTACTTGGTTTTTTTTTCTCAAGCATTAGTTGCAAATTCTTTTGTACCTTTCTAGTCGTCAACTGTTTGCAACCTAAGTACGACACACTGAGTATTTGAAATGCTTCATGTAGATTGGAGCTGAGTAACAGGGAGCAAAATGTGATTTATGCACTGTCTTTGTGTCCAGGTCAACATGAGCGATCGATTTGGTCAAGTGATGATCGAGAACCTGCAGCGTCGCCAGTGCACCCTGGCGGGAGTGGAGGCCTGCCAGACTCTGGACTCTCAGGTAACCTCCATCTCATCAGTGATTTTGTTAGCATCAATACACATCATGAGGGATTATGAGCAGGTTAACTAGCTGTCAAGTTTTAGACAGACCCCCAACAAGTTGAGTCCCCTCACTCAGCCTGGAGAAGGTTTTTTTTTCTCTTGTTAAAAATGAGTTTTTCCTTCCCACTGTTGCCAAGTACTTGCTCACATGGGGTCGGCTGATTTTGGAGGTTTTCTCTTTATTATTGTGAGGTCTTTACCTTACAATAATAAAGCTCCTTATATAAAATTGAATTGAACATCCAAGAGATGCTGTGTACACTAACAAATGACACTGCGTTGCTGGTTGTATTATTTATTTTGTTTTGGGAGGACATTAATTTGTCTTCGTTTGCAGAAGGATCGGTTTCTGAAAACTGGCTGGGAACACGTTGACGCTCTAGATATGATGACGGTCTACACTATGCTCCCTCAGGATGATGTGGCAAGGTAATGCAGGCAGTATCAAGAATCTTGAGGCAACTGTTGTTGCTATTTGGGGCTATATAAATGCTTTCTCTGTGGAAGGATGGATATCTGCTTATCTGATATCTGCTATCTGGTCTGTGCTTCTGTAGAAATGACCCAAACACTTATTATGTAACTCTATGTAATGTTTGGTTACGTTATGTCATGATGCACTAAAGTACTGTCAGAGTGCTGGCTCTGCACCAGCAATGGCTCTGCGTTGGTGGAAAAGAGTTTATTTTACTGTCTTTTTTTCCCCATCTCCACCTGTGTGTGGATGGTGGAGGGATTTCTAGTGGGACCTAAATTCAGTCCCAGTATTCAGGTCCTCTAACATATCAACATATAGCCGCTTTATTTATCTTGGTTAAATAAAGCAGCTCAGCTGTGCTGAAGCAGACGATTCTGAACTTATTTGAATGCTTTAAATGTTTATAACCCTTTTCACTTTTCCGATACGGATATTACAAGTTAGCTCATTTGCAGTTGGTAAATGGAAGTGCTGTGAATGCCGTGGCAGAGTCATGATTTACACATTTTGGTAAATTTCCAAGGCCATTTACCCGAAATTCACTTCTTGTCGTCCATGAACTCGTGACCTTGCTGACTCATTAAAACACTCTTTTATTTCAAATCCTTCCCCTTTCTCCACCTCTCTGCTCTTTTCCCACAGTGCTTTCACTTCCTTATTTTACCATTATACATTTACACTGGATTAAGTAAGCAAATATATATTTAGCAAATCAAATGTTCCACATTTTTTCCTCATTTTCAGCTATGAATTCATCTTTATCTGTTTTTTTTAATATGGAAATGTTTTTAAAATTGTTTCACTTAATTATGTCTTATGTCTTTATATACATTAGTTGAGTTTTATGTGATTTTTAGCTCATTAAAGAATTTTTAAGCTTAATCTATATCTCCAGTTTTCTTATTGTCGATAGGTCCGGCTTTGGTGGTTACGTTTGATACTCGCCGAGCGTAGAGTGGGCTTGCTCGGGTTCTTGTCTTGCTTCTTCATCTTAATCCAGTTAAATTGCGACTGTTACCATTTTATGCGCTAGTAAAGCTGCCAGTGAAGGCCAGTAAAGTTTGAAGTCCTGACATTATAATTGATGTCCATTTTTATGGATTCTCTGACTGGAGATAACGAGAATATTGAATATTGTATATGGAATGTTGTGGAGTTTTACTATGAGGAATTCATCTGGAAAAAGCCTCGGTGAAAGGTATTTATAGGATTGTTGCATTATCCAGTACTGTGAATCAAGCCCCCCCGATTTATTTATATTGTTTTTTGAGTGCAGCAATCTATTGAAACCTAGTTTGAAATCATTCAGTGTTGCTTCAGTTTATCAGTTTATCTTTTTTAAGGTCCCGCCACAGGATTTCAGAGTTGAGGAGTCAGTTTTGATTGGGCCATTGCAACACCTTGATTTGTTTCCCTTTCAGCTCTCTTTTGAGCGTTGCGCGATCTGTCGCTGTGGTGAGTTCATCATGGGAAGAATGTGGCATTGTGTTAACACACACCTGAATTTTACAACCCAGTCTACATGACTGTAGCTTCCTGAAATGAAAAGTCACTTTTTAAGACAAAGTCTTGAGTAGATTTTCATTTCTTTCAGAATTGAGCGTCTGGAGTTCTTGGATGAGAAGGAACTGTTGCAACAACTTCTTCAGCACTACAATATCTGCTGGGCCACCAAGGATAAGCTTAATCTGGGTAATGCACACTTTAATGTTAGCCTTATGAATGGACACGTAAGCTGTGAGAGGACATCAAAGTGACAGACGCTATGTTTCAGGATGTTCTCTGACTACAATGCTGACAAACTGGCTGTCAGCGTATTTACTTTGTCGTACTCGTGCGTATTTTTCAGATCCCCCGCTCATCAGTTTGAATGTCTGCTGTGGCCATTAACAAGAACAGGTCATGTTCTCTTTCCACAGGTCTCTCTCAGTTGGCGTTTTGAGCATTAAATTGCGCCACTTTTTGTGTGTGTCCGCCAAAACCAACAGCGGGAGAAGACGTGTTAAAGGAGGCCTAAGGAAAGAGGAAGTCATTAATTCTCTGCCGAGCCCCTCATCTGGGATTCGTTCCGGTGTGAAAAGTCCCGGCCTCAGCAAAATGCAGTTTCACAAGCATCCTTGATATCCCTGTATGTGTCGAAGACATGATGAGAATTGTGAACATGTCCAAAACATCAACAAAATCTGCTCTTGTGTGATGGAGATGAAAGAATGTGTTAAGAATCACAGATGTTACTTATTTGTGCTTTCCTGATTTTCATGTGCCATTTTAATTTAATTTATTGATCAGATTATTACTTGCATGCCATAAATGGTGAAATGCATACAAATGCTCGTTAATTTCACATTTACCTGCAAAATGTTGACCCTAGCTGAGAGAAAGTGACAGATTAGTTTGTTATTGATTATATTTGATGATCAATCAAGTGCAGATAATTAAAGAAAATCTTTTGTGTAAGATGTCGTTGAACTGTCAGTTATCTACTTTGTTATGGACGTCATATCTGAACGATTATGTTTAAAGCCTTGGCTTATCCAGAGTGCGTGCGATATTCTTGGGAGTGAACACCACGATAAGTTCTGAGAATTCTTGATTGCATTAATTGCGCAGGTAGACTTTGTGTTGGGTTGTATCATTGACTGATGACTTTATTTAGGGGACCTTATAGATCATAAAAGTTACTTATTTATTTGTATTGGTATCTGTAGGCTTATTGATGAGCTTAGGTTCAGCAATAAAAAAAAAAAACAACAACTAAACATTGTGATTGTGTAACAGGACCTTCACCCTGACTACTTTGATGTTCCACGACAAGACTAATCATTTAACAAGCTCATCTTAAATATTTTGGCAGTATAAAAAATTGCAGGAAGGAGGGGCATCACAGCGAAAACGCATGGACGTACGCATTTCCCTTTTGCATCATCATATGTGTGGCTTATATACAGAACTATATTCTGATCGTACTGTAGTCCACCAGTGGAAGTGGAGGGAGTCAAGCACAGGGCAGAAGGTTTCAAATACAGCATGTCAGGGCTAGAAAGTAAGACAGAGGTCTTCACGGTAACCGAAATGGGGGAGCCGAAGGTGGAGAAAGACATTGGCAACAGAAGTAAGATACGATGCAAATATGAGCTGTACGTGCAGCCCTGTCTGGCTGAGCTGTTGGGAACCTGCTTGTTCGTATTTGTGGGGTGTGCCTCTGTTATCGGGAACGTGGAAACGGGGGGTGTCATCCAGCCTGCCGTGGCACATGGACTGGCCCTGGGAGTGCTGATCACAGTGTTTGGACAAATCAGGTACAGATTTATTATATACTGTTTTTTCTTCTTGTATTTACAGTATTAAAATAGAATTTTGGGGGGATTTTGGTTAGTGTAAAAGCAAAGAAAAAACAAATTTATGGATATTTTTAGGATTTAGTGCTTAGAGTAAAAAGCCCTAACTTCTAGAAGTTGCTTTAATTTAAAGAGCATCTAGGTGTTGGAAACCACAGCAAAAAAACCCTTTTAAAAATATTCTGATGCATTTTTTTGTCACACTTTGTATTGCCTCAGTTTGATACAACAAAGGTAGCACACACATAAACACATTATTCAAATGCTCTTTTCATCCCACTCTATTCTTTGATCCTTTTTCATCTATTCATCCAGTTTTGACGGACAGTTGTGACTGCTTGATCACTTTATAGACTAAAATTAATTCCAATTCTTGCAGCGGGGGACACTTTAATCCTGCAGTGTCGCTGAGCGTCTACCTGTGCGGGGGGATGAAGCTGATTTTGCTCGTACCTTACATCGTAGCTCAGATGGCCGGAGGAGTGGTTGGTGCTTTTTTGTCAAAGGTAAGATATAGTCTAAATAAAAGATGAAATACTAAAGACACGCAAATTCATTATAAGTCAAGATGTTAAATTTTGTCGTCAGTCTAATTGTTGATTTTTTAACTAAATGCTAAAATGCAAAAAATGTTATTTCATGCACTGCCAGTGTGGAAAATTTGTTTTTCTTTGTAATCATTGGCCTTTAGATAGTGGTAAGAAGATGTCAACAATTTATGTTTAGGGTTTTATTTTGTTACAAATAGTTTTCTGTAAGTTGTGCAAATCACTATATATATTTCATTTAATTATGTTATTTCTATATTTCAATGTAAAAGTTAAAAAAAACTTGCAATGCAGAAATAATAATAATTAATAAATCAATTAACTAATTAACTGATGGAGTGATATGTTTTAAAATCTGTAAAAATCAGTCAAAATGGGCTCTCAAGACTTGAATTTTCATTTTTTCATCATTTTTACTTTGATCTTAGTTTTGAGTAAGTCAGCGTTTGTTTATTCTGGCATGACTCTAATGTTTTGTCATGTAAAATGTGAATTTACAAGGTTATGTCATCATTTTTACATCATTGAACCCAATATTTTCGACTTGCTGTGTATAAATATGGATGACACACTATGACAGTTCAGAATTGTGATTTCTGATTACTTACCAAGCAGCACTTTGACTTCAAGATTGATAACATCATTGACTTGACCTTATCAAGACTGAGCCAAAAACATTTACCATACAAGATTGTAATTTAAGATCATTAAATGATATTTTGATTTACTGAAAAAACAGTTAAGGTTCCAGTCATGTTATATCCTATGTGTTCTACTTGTTGTGCTTTTAGGCAGTGTATCCCTCTAATAACTATACCGCTTCCCTCGGAGGAGCCTTTAAAGCGGTCTCTGCTGACGCTGGTAGATCCACCCTGGTAGAAATGTTGTTGACCCTGATCCTCACCATGGTGGTGTGCCTGGGGGCCGTCAACAGGAGAACCCAAACAGACGGGGTTCCTTTTTGCATTGGCCTCACTGTGGCTGCCAACATACTTGCTGGGTAAGAATCTCAGGAGGAATCACTGGGAGCTAGACTCTGATCACTATTAGGGCATTGATAGGAGCCGTGGTTTCAGATTTAAAATAATAATAATAATTTAAAAAAAAGGTCTACTTGTTTATTTTGTCCTGCTTTTGGTTGACTTTTGTAATAAGTACTGAAAAGGAGAAAAAGTAAAATTCAAAATGGCAGAACCTAAAGATACTGGTTCTTATTATAGCCCAGGGGGTCTCAGACTGTGGGGCAGTGCCACCTTGGGGAGTGTTGCTAATGAGGGGAAATGAAAGTGAAACTAGTATGATATGATAATATGATATTTTTTTTTTTAGGGAAAATAAACAAGAGCGTGCTACTGCTACTACATCATCTTTTTACTTTACTAAAATTAAACTTTTTTTTTTTTTTTTTACTTAAATCACTGATACAAATTAAAAGATGTAGGGTGTGAACTTCTTTCAGCTCATAAAGCAAGACATGGCAGCAAAGGTCTGAGAACCACTGGAACAGGTTAATCTCTGTTTCCTCTAATGTATCCTCATGAGTTTATTAACTTCGTCAAGTTTCCCTTTTAAATGAGTCTATATGTCATGCACAAGCATGTGGACCATTATCCCATTGCTTGTATATCCTGTTTTTCTTGCATGAGAAGTGTGCTGCTGATCTGCATCACTGATCTCCAGCTGTATTAACGTGTTGGTTTGTCATGACTGTTATTTCAGAGGGACTTTGTCTGGAGCTTGCATGAACCCTGCCCGTGCCTTTGGTCCTGCCATGGCTGCCAACCACTGGGACAATCACTGGGTCTTCTGGGTTGGACCCGTTGCTGGTGCACTGCTAACTGTCAGCATCATCAGGTAAAGATTCAGGACAAGTTATTTGCTTTTGCGTCCAAAAGTCAAACGTGCACATTTCACATATGTCTAGTATAGATTTGTAGTTCCTCGTAAAAAAGGCCATATTCATGTAGCATTGCAGTACTACTGTTGGGATGAAAGTGGGTGGCAAGTCAGTTCAAGTACGATAGTCAGCCACAATATTACGTTCACCTTTTTAAATACTCTTAGTATTTCGGTAGGTGTTATTTATTTATTATTAGTTACTTCTGCAAGGCCAATCATAATGCTTAAGTATTAAATCCTTCTTAACCATTTATAGACCCAACACACCTACTACACTGGAACTCCTGGGGTCTTATGAGAAACCCTTTGCAGTTACATTAAGTCTCTCTAATGTTGTTTCTATTTAGATTATGCCTCTTTGAAGAATCTGTGTATTCAGAATACACACATCCTACAAAAGATGGAATATGTGTAAAAAGCACACATTGGCTTTGTACCACATCATGTGCATTTTAGCAAATTTTTCTTAGATGAATGAAAGGTCATGACAATAAATGGATAATAAATGTGATGGAAACAACCAGTAAAGATTATCTTTTTTCGCAGGTTGTTGATCGGTGACCATAAAACTCGAGTTGTGCTAAAGTGAAGGCCTAATTCATTAAAGAGGACTGCAGAGACCACAACCAGTTGATGGGTATCTTGGCATCTTTTCCATTCGGATGGTCATACATTTCTCAGCAACATGGGAAGAATCTGTGCCTACAGATATCCACCATAACTGTTGGCTTCTATTGTTTGGCTGGAAAAAGTCCAGGCATATTTAACAATAAAAGTTTCTTCCAAACGCTCACACTGTCTGCTCTCTGCACTACTTAGTTGAGTCTTTTGTATTTGTTTGAATCAAAGTCCCACATGGTAAGGAGTATTTTAATAGTTTTATTACTTAAATGACGGTACAAGGACAGGCCAGTGGCTTAAAATATAAAGGCAGATTAGAATCATAAACTGGTGTACTTCGATCCAATGAGACTTGAAACGTAGATTCTTTTTTTTTTTTCTTTTTTTTTTAAGACAAAATACTCCGTTGCAAGTGAAAATTTCATAATCAAAATGAACAAAAGTCTGGAGTCACTCATTGTAAATCTCGTCGGGGAATTATTGAAACGTGCTAACACATGTTGATGAAAGACAGCATATAACGAAAAAACCTAGCTTGTACAATTCTGTTGAGTTTGAAAGTAAAAGGACTCCTTCTTATGTAGCGCTTTTATACTCTGCCTAAGTAGACCAGCCCATGACTGATAGTGTCCACTGTGTGTGTTACACGTATGCTTTTACTGCAGTGGTGGTGTGATGCTAATAAATGAAGCCTTTGCCAATCAGATGCCTTAAACATGTTACTGCGTGGCAGATCAAAATCTGACTGTTCTTGTCTGTCTTCATAATTCCATCAATGTTGACAAGATCCTCAACACCACTGGCTCTCCAAACCATGACAGAGCCTCCACCTGTTTTACAGATGGCTGTAAGCACTCGCTGTTGGACCTCTCTCCTGACCTGCTTGAGAGTTTGAGCCAAAACATTCTCATCTCAATTCAACACACCATAAAACCCGTTCCCGCCGTTTTTCAGTCCAGTTCTCGTGTAAGCTAGCATGCCTTAGCCTTTTCTCCCTCCTTTCCTTAAGAACAGCTTCTTAACAGCCAGTCTTCCACAGAGACCATTTCTGATGAGGCTTCAGTGAACAGGCCTTTGTCAAGTCTTAAGGACATGACTTTCAGATACTGTTCCCCTACTGTTGATTGTTTTTTAGGTTTTAGCCTGCCACTTCTTGTTTTTGTCCTCCACAGAATGCTGAGATATGTCAGGCTTTTAGCTAATAGCTCTTTGGTAATCAGCTTTGTGGAGCAAAACTACAATTTTATGCCCGTCAAACCATGTCAGCATCATTTAACTGTACAAATAGAAATAAATGATGTCTTGATGCATGCTCAATCATTCAGGTAAGTAAATCCCAAAAGGTTTGATTCTGTTCATCTGGACATAGCGTTGCGCTACGCTGAAAATGCTATGTTGCGCTACGCTATGCTGAAAATGCTACGTCCAGATGAACAGAATCAACCTTTTGGAAGGAATAAATGATGTGTTTTTAAACAGGTTGCAATTAGCAAAGTGCCTAAAGATTTAAAATAGGTTATTTGTTAACTTGTGTTTTATGTGAAGACCCAACACTGGTTCATCCCTTGAGTTATGTGCTTTTTTAAGTGGTTAAATAAATCACGACTCACGAGTCAGTGTTAAGTGGCTCTGGTTTTCTCTGAAAATGCTCAGGTACAAGCAGTTGACTAAAAGTGAGTGAAAAAGCAGTCAATGTCCAAGAAAAACTTTGAAAGACCTTTAGGAAGCCCGGAGAACTTCCAGACCAAAAAACAATAAAGTCTGTCCTTGGGAGAAAGATATAAAGAAAGATAAAAAGAAATGAGACATTTGCACAGTACTGGATTTAAGATAGGAAAAAAGGTGGATGTACAATTACTCCGTTGAAGAATGCTGTCAATAGATGTGTTGTATAATACACATAACATTATAGTACAATCTTATCACTATAATCTTTTGATCTCCATCTCATAATCTTATCTAACCTCACTGTGAGATGTGATAAGATTGAAGAAACAGGTTGTACGAATTAAAAACAAATAGTAAACTTCAAGGAAAACAAGTTGGGTCGCAACCTTCTAGTGTTTTGTAAGTAAGCTTTAGTCAATCAATCAATCAATGAAACAATCAAGAAATCGAACTTACTTATTTACTAAGTCCCATTGTGTCACGTACTGAACTGGAGGTTGCTATACATGTATTTATTTAATCACATTTGGACTACTGTAATTGATTATTTATAAGTCTAAGCAAAAACTCCCTGGAACATCTGCAGGTTGTTCAAAACGCTGCAGCAAGGCTTCTGACCAAAGTACTCGCATGTGACACCATTGCTAATACAGCTCCATTGGCTCCATTTTAAGATTCTGGTTCTGACTTTTAGAGCTATTCATGGACAAGCACCAGCTTAGATTATTGAACTTCTACAGCCCTGTGTCCCTAGCAGGTCCGTGAGGTCATGTGATCAGGGCCTATTTGTTATACAGCAGGGTTGGGCAACTCCAGGCCTCGAGGGCCAGTGTCCTGCAGGTTTTAGATGTCACCCCGGGTCAACACACCTGAATCAAATGATTAGTTCATTACCAGGCCTCTGGAGAACTTCAAGACATGTTGAGGAGGTCATTTAAAAATTTTAATTGGACACATCTAAAATCTGCAGGACACCGGCACTTGAGGCCTGGAGTTGCCCACCCCTGTTATACAGCAAACAAGGCTGTGAACTCAGGGAGACAGAGCTTTTGACACTGTGGCCTCCACATTAAGGAACTCTCTTCCTGTGAGCTTGAGATCTGTGGACTCAGTAGTCTCTTTAAAAAAAAACCCCCAACAACTTAAAAACTCATCTTTTTGGAATTGCATTTGGTTAATTTTTTGTCTTTGTTTTAAATTCCCTGGTATTTGTCACAGTATTCAGAAGCAGAACAAAAGGTAAGGCACACTGATACAAAACTAAACATTAACCTAAACTGGGAGAACTAAAAAACAACATGAAAAACCCTGACCCGAACCTGGACAAGAAACTTGGAAACATGGCAAGAAACAACAGATGACCTGACAAGGAATGGATGAAAACAAACAGATTAAATACACACAGGAGGTGATCAGGGGAAGTAGAAACAGCTGACACAAATGAACATAACTACCTCACAGGGGAAAAGTAAACACATTGAACAAAGAAACAAGAGAGTTTCAAAATAAAACAGGAAACAGAGAAATGAAGACGTGACACACAAGCTTGATAAGATGTAACACGCAGACAAGAAATACGACATATTGACACTGAAGACAAGAGAAGACTTATAAATGTTATAAAAGTAGTAAAACGAGAATGAAACTCGACTAAATCCCAACTACTAGCGGCAACACAAGAACTTAACATATTTCCAACAATATAAGGAAACTTAAATACAAAACAAAGTCAAAACAGCACAGACCGACATTATGTTTTTTTCTTGTGAAGCACTTTGTGATCTTTGTCCTGAAAGGTGCTATATAAATAATATTTTTACTTACTTACTTTCTCAGTTCTTTTTATTGAATCCGTCTCGTCTCAGGGTCAATAGAGGGAAAGTATCAAAGTACTTGCAGCAGTGCATAAACGCTAAAAAAAATGTCACACATATTAAAAAAAGAGGATTTGCCGAAAAAGAAAACGTCCCAATGGTTGATATATTGTCATATGGCACTGTTTGATTATTTTCTGCTGTATTTGCACTGGCTGAGCTGCTTGTGTTATAAATTTGAGAAACAAGATTTTGATTCACGGTCAGATGCACGATTCTGACCGCTCTTTTCTCTTTGTTCTTTGTGACGTTTGGCCTCTTTGATGCCATTTGTCTATTAAATAATATAAATATGTTTCGGTACATACATGTTTATCTTAGTTTAGGATGTAATTAGTCTGACATAATCTAAAGTTCAGTGTTGTTATCCAAGAGTGTAAAATCCACCTACCCTGGACCATAACTTTCTGCAAAGTCTCTAATCTAGCTTATCTATATAGACGCTTGGCGATTGCTTTAGGTTTGGCAGGGGATGCAAATAAAGCAAAGACAATGATTGTTATGACAGAAGAATACTTTAACTCTGGAACTTGTGACCTCCACCGCTCCCTCATGCATCATTATGTTTTATGCGTTTTATGTTTTATTTTTTTTAAAGATGTCACTTAAGTGCACTCCTTCAAACACTGCCAAGCATGGCTGAACAGGTGTGAAGAACATTTATATGGCTCAATAATTCATTCTTTATGCTTTTATGACCAGTGATGCAATATGTTTGCAGTGTGCAGGTTATGGGGGATGATTATTAATAAACCCCAACACCTTGCAGCACCTTCGGCACTTCGGCACACTGGTCCGAGTACGGAGAAGCCAGCTGCAGGTGCAAGCAAATAAGGAGCGACAATGGGCGAGGAGCAAATTGAAATGGGAGATTCTGCTCTAATGGAGCCTATGAAGACTAAACCCGTGTTGAAACCTCAACCTAACAAATACGAGAGATTGTACCAGCCCTGCTTGGCGGAAATTGTGGGGACCTTGTTCTTTGTTTTCATCGGCTGTGTGTCTGTGATCGAGAACGTACCAGAAGCTGGACGGCTACAGCCAGCCCTGGTGCACGGTCTGGCTGTAGCCGTGCTGGTGGCTGTCATGGATAAAATCAGGTAAAGTTATTTATTAAGTCAAACGTTGGCATTTATGTTTTAGTTGTTGGATTGTTTGTTTGAATATCATTTATGTCAAACTTTAACCTTGGTTACTTGAAGGTTAAAGATAAAGTTCATTTACCTACCTTAAATCTTTCAGGATATCTTTTGTAGATAAATGAGGCAGTGTATGTATGATTGATGCAAATAAATCAATTTAAAAAAATCTAGAGGGTAAAGCAGGAATTTGACATAGCGTGCCACATATGACACATTTAATCCTTGTGATGTCTTTATATAAAGTCAGTATCGACAGCGCGTCACTGCAGAAAATGCAAGAAATCTGTCAGCATAACTCTTTGGGGTTAAATTGTTTGAATTAAATGTGTAAAATCACATAACAAATAACAAATTCTTATAGGTCATCGCCCAAACTATCCTGTAATTATAAAACAGACCATTTTTGTTAATGCACAGATTTATTTATTTGACTGTGGCTTCATTGTAACAAAAAGAAATTTTTACAGTAAGTGACAAAAAAAACTTTTCTGTCATTTCATTGTTAATCTATCACCTTGTTTTACTTTGAAGTAGCATGAGTGTTCATGGGGAGGTGTTTATCAGGAGTCTTTGCTGGCCCATTCTGGCCCCTGGGCCTTATGTTTGATAACTCTGGGTTAAAGGTTTACCGTGTAGACATCTACCAGATTTGAGTGGAGTTAGCTCAGTTTGTTCTCAACTTTGTCTTTGTTGCTCCTTTGCCTCCTCCCAGTGGCTCTCACTTTAACCCTCCCTTCACTGTTGCCATCTACCTGTGTGGAGGCATGGACCTGATGATGGCGGGGCTCTATATTGTCTGCCAGCTGATTGGAGGAGTGGTGGGAGCTGGAATGGCTAAGGTCAGTTGAAGGTTCAGCACCTTCACATCTTCTAAATGCATGTTTGAGTATCCTGTGAAATTTTCACCACAACTCTACTGTTTCATAGCTGATGACCCCTCCAGAACGCTTCATCAATGCCACGGGAGCAGCGTTTACTATCCTCAAGTCAGACAGCCAGCTGTCACGAGCCATATTCGGAGAGGTGGCCATGACCTGCCTGATAACTTTGGTGGTGCTGCTGGTGGCTGTCAATACCAGGACGAAAACCCCACTGGCTCCTTTCCTGGTGGGCTGTACGGTCATAATCAATGTCTTGGCAGGGTGAGACACAGGGCCCTGTCCTGCAGCGATCTTGGCTCAAGAGTTGGGAGTTCGCCTTGTAATCGGAAGGTTGCCGGTTTGAGTCTCGGTCGTTGTGTCCTTGGGCAAGACACTTTACCCTTGCCTCTGTCAGTGCGCCCCAGGGCAGCTATGGCTACAATGTAGCTTGCCATCACCAGTGGGTGGATGACTGAATGTGTAAAGTGCTTTGGGGTCCTTAGGGACTAGTAAAGTGCTATACAAATACAGGCCTTTTACCTGATCACGGGCAGGGCGGTGATATTAATTTGATAGCCTGGATCTTGTTCTTGCTATTTGCCTGTGGGATTCCCAGATACGTGTAGCTGTCCTCAACTTCTGCAATGTTGCCTTCTGGTAGTGCGATCCATGGTAGATCCTGCACTTGAAGATGACTTGTGCTATTGGCTTGAAATTGCCCTCTAGTGTTGTTCACCTTTATATATTAATGAATCAAAAACTTTGACCCATTAATAATATTGTAAAAATATATGATATCCTGGTCTGATTGCTTTTGGTGCTTTAGGCATATTCTAAAGTGTTTTGCATTATTGGCCTACTTAAGCAGGATTTTATCTTGTGCTTAAGTAAATGATTTAAAAACTTGTTTTTCCTCTTGTTTAACTTTATCACTTATGTGCAGGGGTGATATATCAGGAACGTGTCTAAATCCTGCCAGGGCTTTCGGTCCAGCTGTGGTGACCGGTTACTGGACTTACCACTGGGTGTACTGGGTCGGTCCCATTGGGGGAGGTCTTGTGGCCGCTGCTTTGGTCAGGTAAGAGAAGTTACACATAACTGGATTACTAAATGAAACCACAGGAATGATACACCAGTGTCACTGTCTCTTCCTGTTTTTGCAGGATCATTCTGGGTGATGATAAACTCCGAATCATAATGAAATGACTCCATTTACAGCTGTGGTGCAGGATTCAATATATCCATAAGCTCTGTCTTTCACTCCATATATTTAAAAAAGGGCATACTTTTGGATATTTCTTTTTGATACTGTTATTCCATGGCAGTTTGTAATCTATGGATTGTTGTTTAGTATAAAATAAATCAAGAAAAATACATAAAATCATTTTTTCTCAGTTCTTCCCCATAAAAAAAGAACACTGCCATTTAAACTAAACTCTTTATTGGGACTTTTTTCTGCAGTGTCACGTGTGCAGGTGTGAAACGACACAGTGAGATATTTAAAAAAAGAAAAACACACACACACAGAGCAGGATTATTTTTGGCGACATGCTTTATTTTCGTTTTCCAACCATGATTTTAATGGTCACAAACTGCGCTTTTCACTGCCGACATCTCAACGGTATTTCTCAGAGAGACCCAGGGCCACGGCGGCCAAGAATTTGTCGAAGGCGACATGAGTTTCCGGGGTGAAATCTTTAGGGAACATAGTGGCGATCACCACCATAAGGGACTGAGCCAGGATCTGCAGAGAGAGGAAACAGTTTACACCAAATATGAAGTTTGCTCGGCAGAAATCGCTTTTAATAAACAGACTGTTTGTTAGTACAAATGCATAGTCAATAAACTCGAATCTTCTTAAAAACAATCTTTTCAATATGTTGGATTACTTTATTACATAAATTAACCGTGCGTGAAATAGGAATAGACAATAACCTCTGTTTATAACTGAAATCGCATATGCACATGATCCGCGTCTTACCTTGAAGTTAGATGGATCCACCCTCAGCTTGAAGGCGTGCAGCTCGCTCAGTTCCAGCAGGCCGCCACTCAGGTTGTCAATCTTGGACACGGCCTCAGTGACTCCACCCAAGATCAGCTTTCCGTGAACCATCACGGGCTCAGAACCGGGATTCAGGTCCGGCCAGTGGGAGAAGTAAGTCTTGGTTTGCGGATACACGAGGAGCATCCTGTGGAAGCAGAGATGAACATCGTGGGTCACAAGCTCCAGTGGCGCAATCGGTCAGCGCGCGGTACTTATAAGACAGTAGCCTGCAGAGGTATGCCGAGGTTGTGAGTTCGAGCCTCACCTGAAGCACGATCTTATTTTAAGTAGTCGAAGTCATGTTAATCTGAAGTCTGTTTAAATATTTGAGGCGACTGTTGCTGTAATTTGGCGCTGTATAAATAAAATTCAATTGAACTGAATTCAATAAAGAAGTGCCTATACAGCCTTACCTGCCCAAAGCTTCGCCTCCAACAGTATCCACAGCCTTGGAGACCTTGGCCCAGAGTGCCTTGACGGCAGCCTTGTCTTTCTCAGTCAGACTCATGTTGGATTGGTTGTCTCTCTCTCTCTGATGATGCTACCCGGCGAGGAGCTCTGCTTAAATTCAGTTGCCCCCCTGGGTCACACCCAGGGCATCTGATACCAAGCCACAAGCTGTGACGCAGATAGGACTCATTCACCGGACCTGATAGAAACTTGTTTGGCTTTAGGCCAACGCAGAGGGTGATATCGGCTGGTGACATCTTGGGTGTGAATTTGCAAAAACACTCTGCATTTTTTCGTGTAGGATACCAAAAGTGCAACGTAACCACATTTTCTGCTTTGCAAGTTTGTGAGAAGTTAGAGGTGAAGCACATGGTCCCCTGATGACTGATGAGTGGAGAACATCTTAGGCGGAGTGATATCATGTGCAGAAAGTCTACAGTTCTAAGAACAATGAGTGAACTCGTGTCTAAGGAGTTGCTGTGAAATTAATGCCAATAAAACTGATTGATTCATAAAACTGAACACATTTTTCTATTACTTCCAGCTTTACTGAGGCCTGAACCAAGTAAATTATAGTAATAGTAGTAGTAATAATAATAATGATCATTTTGAATATTTACAAAACAATTCGATTCGATTCGATTCGTACTACTTAAATCAATCAATAAAAAAATTAAGTATATTTTCGTGATGTGATCATCATTTAAACAATTTTACCAATGAAGTACAATATAAGTATAAGAAAATGATCTATTTTAAAAAAACAGATTTCGTGATCGCAAAGAATGTGGGTCATTTATGGATGCAGGTGGGAGTTACAAAAATGCGTGCATGCACATTACGCACTTACAGAAAAGAGCGCAAAATTCTATAATATATGCAAGTACACTCGGTGGATCTAGGATATGCTAAAAATACAAGATTAAAAAACAGCTCTTCTTATCAAATTGAAGCTGTTTAAAGCTTTCTCAGATTTATCAGATTTAATTTTTTAATTCAGCATTTTTTTTTTCTTTTTTGGCTCGGGCCATAAAATAAGTTCCTATCAGTGGTAGAAAATAGAGCAGACGGCCTTTATCAGCCAGCTCAAGTGTTCTTAATCAAAACACATGCATCTGTGGACGCAGGGGGGTTTGGGTGGAGGGGGGTTCGCTGCTGCAGATAACACCGGTGTGGTTTACCAGATATAACTTAAAGAGCGTCAAACACTCTCGAGCTGCTTGGCAACCATCCCTCACATTTAAAATAAAGACAAATAAAGACTAAATAAATAAATAAATTCTTTCATTTTTCTCCGCATAAATGTTTAGCCTTTTTACTTATATTTCTATATAATGTTGATATTTTTGTGAAGATGTGAAGTTGTTGAACCTTTATTTGTATAATATCAGGCAGATACAGACGAATTATGCATTTCCATATTTTTAAAAAAAATCAGAATTCACATTTAAACATATATACACACTTTATTTAGATTTTAAAAAGTGGGGGACGCACTTTAATCAATGTTGACAGATAATTTTCAAAAGGCCTTTTTTGCATTTTATGAATTTTATCCTCTGTGTGATTTGTTTAAAAGTAAAATAAAAAAATAAAAAATAAATAAAAAAATAAATAAAATAATAAAAAAAAAATCAACAGCAACTCAGGATTCAGCTAATAATAGCTGAATAAATAAAATAAATAAAAATAATAATAAGAATTATCAGAGACTTGAGGACTGCATTTGAAATAACTGTAATAGAATAATTTGGGCATAAAATATTGGGCTTTGGAATCTTTGGCCGCACAATAACTGCGCTAATTGAATTTTTGTTTTTGGCTTTGCTAAAATTGCGCAGGACACGAATAACAAAACCGTATCAACAAATCCAGAAACTTCTGGTGAAGTCTGCAGTTTATCTCACGCGCATCATCTCCAGCCTATCACAGCAGACTTCTCATTTGGGGTGGGGGAGCTTCGACGCATTTAAATAGATGCAGGGGGTCTAGTGAAGCACTATTCAGCCTTTTCCTTCAAGCCTGAAGAAAAAAAATCATAATCAAACGCCACCATGGTTGAGTGGAGCGAAAACGAACGCAGCATCATCTCCAACATCTTTTCCAACCTGGACTATAACGACGTTGGGCCCAAGGCTCTGGTCAGGTAAGGAACACATCTGCAAGAGGACAATCCTTCCTATGACGTGCCCTGTGGCCAAACTCACGTGTGTTTCTCCCTTGCAGGTGTCTGGTCGTTTACCCCTGGACTCAGAGGTATTTCTCTTCCTTCGGTAACCTCTACAACGCCGAAGCCATCAGCACCAACCCGAAAGTCGCTGCCCACGGAATCAAAGTGCTCCACGGTCTGGACCGCGCTCTGAAGAACTTGGACAACATTAAAGCCACCTACGCCGAGCTGAGCGTCCTGCACTCAGAGAAGCTGCACGTCGACCCCGACAACTTCAAGGTAAACCTCAGAACCCGCCTTTCTTCTTCTTCTTCTTTTTAATGCAAACACGACATTTTCTTATGTCTTTTTTTTTCTTTCTCCATGCAGCTGCTTTCTGACTGCCTGACCATTGTTATTGCTGGAAAACTGGGTTCCGCTTTCACCCCAGAGGTTCAGGCTACCTTCCAGAAGTTCTTGGCCGTGGTGGTGTCCGCTCTCGGAAAGCAGTACCACTAAAATGTAGATCCGTCTGCATCTGGAAGCCAGAAGGAGATCTAACGCCTGTTTCAATATGTTATGGATCACCTCAAAAAAGAAATAAAGGCCCACTGAAGCAAAGTTTACGTTTTCCCATTGTATTTTTTTTTAATTTTACACATGCTTATAGGTTATATCTTATATCACACTGGGGGGCTGGATGCTGAGTAGAGGGCAAATAAAGGATCTCGTTAGTGCTTTTATGTTTTTAGACTGTAACATGGCGAAATATGAGAGCGGATTTCACTCTTCCAAAGGTTATAAAAAAAAACCTAAACTAATAAATAATAACAACTCCAAAATACAAACCATATATTTTATAGGATTTGTAAGTAAAAACAACCATAACCGCAAAATGACCAGTAACAGGCTGTTCTTCATTCTAACGAGAGTACTAGATACTACTTTGTTTATTTCATTTTCTGTTGGGCGATGAATTGCGTGCACAGCTGGGGATTTGTTGTAAATTACAACTGGAACAAACAAACATACATGCATTTAATTTTAAGATTATATTTTTTTAAATGTACTTTATTTATCTTGCTTGCACTTTCTATTTCACTGTTTATGCCGCTCTCCTCACTCTCAATCAGAGATGGGCAGTTACTTGTAACGAGTTACTGTAATCCGATTACTTTTTTCTAGTAGTAAGTAAAGTAAGGGATTACTATTGCAAAAATGGTAATTTGATTTGATTTGATATACGTTTATTAGTCCCACAAGGGGAAATTTCATAAGGCTGCCGACCTATTGCACATAATGGCGGCGCCATCTTACCCTTCTGACCATACATACATTACACAAACATCACATGGGGAAGACAGGTCAGAGAGGTATAACAATGGAAAATGCACCACATGAGGAAAGATAAGGAGAAAAAAATGACTCCTCCCAGACTGAGCTCCAACAGGGAGATCAGTTTGAGAACAGAAAAAAACACCTCTGCACATAGCACATGAAAAAAACTCTAAATACACCAAAGAAACACATGACAAGCAACAGGGGTGGGTAAAGGGTGAGAGACAGCCGATTTAGACAGTGCATCCGGGCCTGCAGCCTGTGCGCTGGTCTCCTTGATCCACCGTCAGCATCAGAAGGGAATAAGCGTCGAAGGCGTTTGGAAAGGGAGGGGGGATGAGTGTGTGCATATCAGTGTATATGTATGTGTGTGCGTGTCCAGAGTTCAGCTGAGACAGTGTCCTTCGCCCTGCTAGGCTAAGTAAACAGTCTTCCAGCCAACCCAGGTGGCCTTGCATGGAATGGGAAGGAACAGTCTAAACACAGTGGTTATCAGGGTGTTGTTGTTCAGCTCCAGCCTTGCAGCTGGCGCCAAAGGGGTATCCGCATAAGTGATGGTGTTTTCACTTTAGTGCGAACAGCTCATATGAATTTCAAAGCAGTTCTACAGTCCAACACTGGTCTCTCAATCTCCCGTTGGAGAGCCGCGAGCTTCGCCATACTTGCGTTCTGTGATGTTGTCATTTCTTGTGCTCAAGGAGCAGATTTCTGAGAACTCACGGCAGTGTGCCCCCCCCAAGATGTCATCCAATTTGCGCCCAGAGATGTTATTCCGAGCTAGCCCTTCCGAGATGTATCCAGTCTGCAGTCAGAGATCTTATTCGGAGAATTCACAGCAGCCGCATCTCCAAGATCTTATCCGTGCTGCACTCAATGAGCCCATTTTGAGAAACTCACGCCTCTCCCATCGTTCCAATCCCAGCGGGCAGCCTTGTGGGGGTTTGAACAGCCGGTTCCGCTTTCTTAATTCTTCGATAAGTCAGGGCCAAGCCAGCTCCGATTAGCCAGAACCCTGTTACCATGGTTCCGAATAGGTAAATATCTTCAGCACTCAGGCTCACCCAAGCCCAAACTTCTCGTTGAGAAAGGGGTGTCAATTGCATCTAGGGACCAGTTGATCCAATCCATAATTCCTCTTTTAGGTTTTAGAGAACAGACTGTGAGAGAGTGTTCCAAGGAAAAGTTATACAAAAAACACGAGACTAGACAAGGACATAAGAGGCTAAGCAGGGAAGCTAAGGGAGAGGAGGAGGAGAGGAGAAAAGTGCGACCGCCTTCGTCAAGAGCAAGAGCAGAAAAATTAGATTACTGTTACTTTCCCGCAGGAACGCTGTATTATGTTTAGAAAAGAGACAAAAAATGAAAGCACTGAAATCAGTATCAACTGTCTACCTTTTCCCATAATTATTAATTCATAATCTTTGAAGCTATATAGGTAAAGGTGTGGTGCTACTTGAGGGCATCGGAGTGACACTAAATAACTGCAGTTAGTTAGGTCAATAGTTTAATTGAACTATAGCTATCAGAGCTGTCAGAATGATGAGTGGAACGCTCTTTGGGTTATATAATATTGGGCTAATTTAATTGCAAAGATGGAATCAGTAATCCATAATTGCCTGCCAATGTCCAGCGCAGATTAGTTGCTCAAAAGTGTACACACCATACCAGGGAGTGCAAATGAGAGATTTGCAGGGGTTTGTCTCTGCTGTTAAGATAAATGAGAGGAGGCGGAAGAAGAACCAGCATGGTTTTCTGTAAGGTTGAAGTATTTTGTTAGAAAGCACCGCGAATGAGTGTGTTCCAGGGGAACAAGACTGAGGTGGAGCGCAAGATTTATCCAGAGGAGAGCTACACTGTTATAAACTATTCCATCATAAACCTGACATCCATGTGTATAGCTGACCTGTGCTATACCGAGAAGAACACCAAACATCATTTACCGTCAGATCCCGACCCCTCTATTTAGCAATGAAGACATAGCTAATGTGTCTCATGCGTAAATGCTCACACTGCCCATGTTTTTTATTTTTTCTGCAGATTGCGCACTAACACAGTCACATTGACACCTACCCCTTTTTAATGATAGAAAATACATTAATGCAACATTAAAATCTCTGTCTGCCCACTGCAGCAGGAAGGACCAAGTTAGAGGACAGAGCCAAAGATTTAGCATTCCGCTCACAGCTTTGGGCCACCCACCAGTCACAATTACGCACTTGCTTCCAATAAATGAACACACATCAACTATCGCATATCTTACAACCGAAATGACGCGTGTCCCCCCCTTTCCCCACAGCGGTAAGTTTCGCGTTAGACTATTGTTTCCTTCTTCCCTCTAATCTGTAACAAACGAAACTGAAAGTTTTGACGGGACTCAAAGGGTGGAAGTGTCTAAGATTAATGTCTTAAATCTAAGCCGTTCAATAGCTGTTCTTCTCCACAGCGGAACAGGTCAGCTGCAACACTGATTTCAGGTTTACACGGTGGAAGACTTTGTGATACAGTGCCGTTCCTGAGCTGTCCCATATATCTGTAACTCTGACATTAAGCCTGTAAAAAACGGCGGAATTCATAATTCACAAGAGGATAGGTAAGGGAGAGAGATGACATTAAAGAAGTGGGAGACAATCCTACGGGGAAAGAAACAGAAAAGCAGCAGGGTGCTGTGATAGAATTGGCAGTGATAAAAATGGTCAGGCGGATGACTTTACATTTGATTACTTTATTCAGTTATAGCTGAATAACGCAAACTATCAAATGTGGCGGAATAGCCCCAGAAATGAATGAGAACTCAACAGTGAACCCATGGACTTGGGCGGGCACGTGACCGCCCCACTACTTGATCAATTAGCCCTTCACCTCTACACATCTTTACAATAGAGCTATTTATACACCACAAACTGGGCATAAAGATATTTGTGTTTATTTACAGAAGAGTTCATGTAGATAACCGAAGCTAAGCTACAAACTAAAATGAGGTGTGGAAAAAAAATCTGAATTAACAGAAAAAAACCCTACACTACACTTAAAAAAATGAATGAAAAAAAGACACTGAATACAAAAACAACTAATTAGAAAATACAAAATTATAGCTAAGTGCAGTGGAATCAAACTAATTTCAGCACCAGAGACAGCGCCGTGTTCAACGTCCTCACAGCAGCTTCATGTTTAATACGAAAGATTAAACGGGCTCCTTCTGTGTTTTTAAACATTACCAACAAGATAGAAGTAGATATTTATGCTTTTCACATTTGAGGAAATAATGGAAAACAAAAACGTATAATTTCAGAAAATACATTACACAATAAACGTGCTAACTCAACCCTGAAAAAGTAAAACTACAAACACATAGCGATCGAAGAATATCTTCATAACCTACCGAGAACAAATGCCCAGAGAGAGATCACCAGTTACAGTTTTTATTTTCTTCCACTTTAGTAACTTTTGTAAATGTACATCTGGAGTCATGACTGTAAAATCAGGCCCAACAAAAGGACCGTATCTTTCCACGAGAATAAACTTTTCTGTCAATAAAAAAAATATTTTTCACCAAATGACATTGAAAAATGGTGTATTGAAGAGCTAAATCACAGCTCCTTATTAAACACAGGCTATTTGGGTTTTTAAAAAGTATCTAATTCATGTATTCAAACAATATTCTTAAGAGAAATTGTGAACATGTCTATGATACCAACGAATATTTGGTGTGGTAAAGATTGAATTAGACTCTTCAAAATTACCTAGGGTCACTTTTACTTGCAAGGAGGTCACATTTCATGACGTTAGAACAGAAGTCTGATGGTACAGATGAAATAATTGTTTTATTCTCTGGTGAATTTGTATTTTTCTCACTTCCAAAGAAATGAGCACAAACAGAATTCTGGCTGGACTGTAGGGATCAAATAATCATTTCCTCAGTGACCTGAAAATGAATTTATAATGTTTGTCTCATGTGTTTTTCTAGATTTTTGTTTGATATTCTGTACAGTCACTGTACAGTAAACCTGCAAATTACAAACGTACAAATTTACCCCAGGATCAAATAATTATTCCCCCCACTGCGTACCTGACATCTACACCTGGTTTTTAACTATATAAAAATTATTATTTTTTAAAAAACCCTCACATAATTAGATATTCTGACATCTTACATTAAATGTAATATTACTGTAATATTATTATTATTAAAATGATAGAAAATGTATTATTTATTAGTGAGTTATGAAGAAAAATGTACGTTTTAGGGTGTCCCACAGTACTACATTTCAATACAGCAGCCGAAA